CYWRTKKTKGRARKTKGRRWTTYYYCYTTTKKTYYYCCTYYTKGGGRAWTTTTYCCCMKTTTWTTGGTGCTAAGAGACAATAATGTYGMTAGCCTATTGACTGAATCATTAAGAACGACAAAAGAAGTTGCCAAGCCCRGSGGGAGGAGGACTCCTGGAGGCACTCCTCCTAYCTAAAGGTTTTCTCTCTGTGGAGAGCAGAGTYCCCRCAAGAMTTTGGGCTGGGGGGAAAGGTGTGTGTGTGTGTGGCGGGGTTGCCCTCTCTTCTGCCCTGGGGAGGACTGTGGACCTGCTGCCCGAGGGGGAGAGCTCGCCTGCTGCAGAGCCCAGTGGCCCGCCTTAGATTCCTGTTTGCTACGCTGTGGCTTCTGCTCCCCTGCCTTGCCAGAAACCTGGGATTGCAGTTACAGTGGTGGAGTTCTGAAACACCTCATCTGCAGCCGCGGGATTCTGCTCGTCTCTTTGCCCATCTGGCTGCTCTGAGGCTCCTGCTACAGATCTTCTTGCTATCCAGAGGGGGCACCAGGATCGGCTCACCCTGTGAGYTCCTAAAGGGAACTCCTTCTCCATCCATTCCTGTGCCCACCATTGCCACGAGGGAGATAAAGCCGGCAGCACCTACGCCACAGCGCCCCCTGCAGCACCGGCGGAATCACCGCACCACCCTGCCCTGCCGGCTGTGACCGGAACTGCACCAAAGGGGCGGGTGTTGTGGCAGCCCAGAGCAGGGTTTGTGGTTGGGTTGGTTGTTGCTGTCGTTGTTGTTGCTTATTTACCTTGTTATACAAACTAGTAAAWAACTGTTGTTCCCTTTTTTCTATATCTTTGCCTGGAAAGCTCGTGATTTTAAAGTTATAATAATTTGGAAGGAAGGGGGATCATATTCGCCACTCCAAGGGAGGTCCCCACCTTCACTGGCAAACACTTGTTTTTCAAACCAAGACACCTGGGAACATGCAATAACCAAACAGTGTAATTGGCCATGTTTATACACAAACTCTATCTAGTGGCAGCAGAAGTTTGTTACTGACTGCCAGTGGAAATGAAGGGTTTGTRTAACATGAGTGGAACATGATTCAGTGATTCACACCGAGCTTGACTGTGCAGTGCTGGAATGCTACTCACAGGCAAGGTGAAGAAGGTGGGATGTTTGGATTCATCCTCATATTTGCCCTCTGTTGAGCCTCCTGCCTCCACCGATTTGGAAGTGGTGTTCTTGCCGATCCCCATCGTTTCCAGAATGTCCAGGACTTGCAGGCAGCACCCAGAAGGTGCTTCTGGGACGACAGGCCAAGAACTAAGGACAGCTCCTTATTAAAACTGCAGCACCTCCAGGAATCACACAAGTGCTCAGTAATCCAGCTGGGACATCACGGTGTTGTTTGAATCAATGGCTCCTAGGATTGAAGGGAGAAGTTGACAYTTTTTGTTACCTGAAACAGATGAATAAAAGCACAAGTCCCAYAGCCTGGATTCCCTTTCATGCTCGTGACTCACCAACTCTCATCATTCCTTCCTGATAATTATCATTCAAACATAAAGCTGAGGTATTTAAATTCTTTTGGAATGGAATACTGCAATTATTCCCTCATTCTTCTCTTTTGGTTTTCAGTCATTAGCAGTATCTTGAAACCCTAGGATTTTTCATATTTTACAACCACTTCCACAGAACATTTTGGGAACAAAACACACCTGTTCTCCAGGTACACAGCAGTACCACAGCTGGACATTCACTCCAAACAAGATYTGGGCTTCTCCAAGGAGTGTAAATTTGCAGAGCTACTCACAGGTTTACCTCTGTGTAACTGAATSCTTTCTTTGAAACACACTTATTTTAAAATAAAAAGCATCCAGGAAGCTCAGACTGGAGGGAAAGTGAGGCACACCTAGCGTTCAATGAGACTGTTTCAGATAGMAACAGTCCTTACTGCTGAACACCCTCAGCCAAAATTATCCCACTTGCATGATGAACATTCCAAGTAATTTGCCTGATAATTTTGAAGCAACTGTTTCAGGATAAACTGGTGTATTTCAATTAGTTCCACTTCTCCTTTGGCAGAGGAAAGATCAGACACCTTAGTGGGTCTCTCTTGTTTTCCCAGATGGGTCACTACAGTACAGTCTTCCCATATTTGCTCCTTCATTTAGACCAGTCAGACCATTATCATCTCCACATTTTTTTTATTTCCAAGTCTAAAGAACAGTAACTAACACATTTTAACCTAAACTTCCCAMAAGGCAGCACAGAAAATCCTGCAGCAAATCAAGGTTTGCAACCTGTAGTTATGGAGCCTCAAACAAAAATGCAGCTGCCAACACCTACAGGTGAAAGTAAGTCAACTACAGGTACAGAAAGTACAGAACAGAACCTGAAAAATGGTCTCTTAAAAGTCACAGAAGGTGGAATTTTCTGCAGTCAGAAACACATTCAAGCAGCAGAACCCACTCACACGGGTGTTACTTCAAAAGCAAGTAATGACATACTCAGCTGAACCCTAAGATGGAAATGCAGCTCATGGACATTCACAAACAGAGGTTTGTATTGGAAAGGAAGGAATAGGGTTTGCTTTTTTTCTTAAGTCTCCCTTCCAAATGCTGCTCAGTAAATGCCAGCAGCTCCTGTCTACTGTAATTGCAATAATAACTGAACTTGAGACAGACTCTTCTGCTGAGGGAAATTCAGGACTGTACTAATATATGAATACTAATATTTTAGAMCCTTTTAACAGCTGTTAATTGCCCATTTTCTGGAAAATTCTGGTTCCTTGAGGAGAAAGAAATATTAATCTTTCAAAGCAATGTAGGTATCTCTTGAAAAGTTACATAAGAAAGACCATTTGGGCACTGAGATCTCTTGAAGCATTAATTAAATCAAGACAGGAGGGAAGGGACTGCCTCCAAATCAGTGTTAAGATTTCTTTATGAAAGTAAATATTAAGGTAGCATAATTAATTATTTCTCACTTGAATACTGAATGAGAAGACTGGTTTGAATACCCCAGTCTTGTTCTAGAGAAAAGTAATTCCTAGTTTTGCAATAACCACACATCTCCCCTTCTACGTGCAGCTCAGGGTAGAGAGAAGACAGGTTCTGGTTAAAATTTTGGGGGCAGTGGGGGGTCTGGGCTGGAATTCTTGGAGGGGTTTTTTATTTGCATTCACTGCAGAGCAACGAGGGATTCTTTTTCCAAGCACACAAGAACAAAGAGAAAAGAATCTGTCTTTTTCTGTTATTATAGACATATTATTCTCCAAGAAAATCAGTGATGGCGACAAGTAAGGTTTAGTCTGGCAGCTTTATCACCTTGGATCAGGAAGGGAAAGGGCAGCAGGACACCTCCCTAAGTTAGGGCCAGTAACACCTGGAGTCAGAAAATCTGGCAGTCATGGGATCTGCTCTAAGATGCTCTRGCACCATAAGCTGCTTAGCTGGCATTAACCAACATCTCCAGATAAAAAAGAAAATACTCTAATCCTGCTTTACTGTGCACTGCACAACAGCAGGACTGCTATCTTCTCCAAGATGTGATCACTCCTTGGGAATTGTTCTTGGGAATTTCAGCAGGACAGCAACAAAGCTTGCCTTTTATTAATTGCTGAGAGCTAACACACTATAGCCAAAACAACAGCATTTGGATGAGGGTTCCCAAACAAGGAATTCCCAATTAACAGGCAAAAAGAGCCTCATAGCTACTTTTCCTAAAGAGAGGGAGTGTTTGTGTCAGGAGGTGTTGGTCCAAGAAAAAMCAGGAGGACAAATTTCCCAGCTCCTCTTGCTTCTACTCAGTAATTAAACTTGCACTTAATGACACAGATGATAACCAGGGATTTTTGGAACACTTTTATTCTCCAATCAGGAGCATCAAAGAGAAGCAGATAACCTCTTCTGGGAGATATCGTTCCTTATCAGCTTTCATGACCCACCAAATGAGCCCAAATGTATATGACTCATACATTTTTACAGCCCTCCATAGCAAATCCAACTGGTCAGAAGCTGAAAAGTCAYGGAGAAAGAGATAAAACTCATTCAACATCAGGCAGGTTCACTCAGTACAATCCATCATCTGCAGGCTCGGATCAAATGGAAAGGCTGGAAGTGAAATTTCCGTCAGGACTCTGATTAATGTTCACCTTTCTACACCAAATTACCTCCAGTGCACACCTGTGTTTAACACAGGAAAGACAAGAGCTGCCAGGAGTTTACAATGCTGTAGATAAGATTAGGATTTAGACAAAAAGCAGGAGATAGCCCAGGTGCAAGATCAGGAAGAAAAGTCTTTTTGCCAGGGAAAAGCTACTCTGTACCTTCAACATTTGCCTCTTCTCCAGCACGAAGCTCTCTCCAGATTTGGAGACATCACGAGAGGACACAAAGAGGTGGCAGTGTGTGGTCTGACACCACATCACCTTCTTACACTTCCATGACCGCCCACTACATTTTCGCTTTTGCCAACGCTGCTCCTATTTTGTTTAAATTAGTTAGGATGCATTTTAAAGCTCATGGAAAGAAAGATAAAACCCATCAGAAATGGAGATCTACAATGCAAGATTCTGATTAAATACTCTTTATCTTTCTGCAGCTTCTGCCTGTAAATATGCTCTGGAATCTCTACTACAAATAAAAAACATCTACTGGAATACACAACAAAGGTTTTCCTACAGGAAAATCTGCCCTTGTGCCACAGCAGGCTGTACAAAGTGCTTCTACTTCACAAGATACCAAACTACCTGTGAGTCATTAAAAAAGAGTCAGTAAAAAATCCTTTGAAAGCTCATCTCTTAAGTAGGTCCAAGGGTTAATTTGGTCGGGATAAAACGCAGAGATAGACATAAAGAGCTTATTACCATGGAAGGCAAAACTGGCCACGAACCCATGAAGGAGTAGGCAATGTAATACAGAGATCTCCCTTGCCTGCMCTGTTTCCTTTAAAAGCATTGGATATAATTTTTGGCTGAACCACACMAAAAAATATTCCCTGAATCAGATTTGCTGTGAAGGCAATTTATCCCTACAGTGCTAAAGACCTACTAGGAATGCCTTTAACTCTAACACTGGAATCCAGAGCTTGGCACAGCAAATATTGGGGAAAACAAAACCAACCTCCAGACTGTGACATTCCTGGGCAGTAACAGGTTCTAGGTTGTTTCAGAGTTTCTTTGAACTTCCCTTAGAATAGCCAACATTTTGCCAGGTGCTGTTGGACTGGCAGCACCAAGACTGGGGAGCAGCTCATGCTCAGGACATGTCAATACTGTAAAGCTCATTTGCAATAAGCAGACCTAGAGATTAACCCCCTGGAGGAAGCTCAGGCTCCCCCATGACTTTCAGCCCTGCAAATTAGTTTTTCCGAAGTGAAAGGATCTCCAGCAGCCCTGCATATTCCCTTATTTGCCAAAGTCAGACCAAAAACTGTCCAAAACCACAAAGGTTGAATTCTAACTAGATCCTAAATTTCTCTCAGCTGAGCCAGTCTCACCACCCAGTGATAAACAAAATACTTTAGACTTTCCACACGGATCTGTGCAGGGTTTCAGAGGCCAGGAGACTGCTGGCTGAGCACAAAGCTGAGATAAGCATGAACAGTGGGCACCAAGTTTGAACACAACTTGAGCAGCCTCCTCTGCAGGATGGGGCTGCAGCATTTCAGAGCTGGTATCAGGTTCCCCAGAACCCGAGCTGCAGACAGGAGCTACTGAACAGCCACAGATGTTTCACTGTCTGCAAAGAAGTAGAAATCAGGTACCTCATGGCTGTGCTTTGCTGGATCGCTCTCCCTCAGACACCAAGTCCTGCTGCAAGGGCTTGGTCACGAGTAAAAGCTGTTGGAAAGGGTAAAAGGGAAATCCCAGGCTCTCTGAAAGGTGACTGTACACCCGCCTCCTCTTCATATAGTGCAAGTGCCAAACAGAATGATCCAGTTAATCCCAGAACTATTTAGGTGGGGAAGAYCTTCAAGACCATGAAGTCCAACCTGTGACAATCCCCATCTTGTCATCAGTCCAGAGCACTGAATGCACAGCCAGTCCTTCCCTGGACACCTCCAGGGGTGGGGAATCCACCATTGCCCTGGGCAGTCCCTGCCAAAGCTTGACCACCCCTTCCATGGAGAAATTCCTCCTGTCCAACCTGAAGCTCCCCTGGCACAGCTTGAGGCCATTTCCCTTGGTCCTGACCCTGTTCCCTGGAAGCAGAGCCCGACCTGCCCTGGCTGCCCCCTCCTGTCAGGGAGCTGTGGAGAACCAGAAGGTCCCTTCTGAGCCTCCTTTTCTCCAGGCTGAACCCTCTGCTGGTGCTCTGGACCCTTCCCCAGTTCAGTGTCCTTCTCTGGACAAGCTTCTGCCCCTCAGCATCTTGGGGTGAGGGGCCAGAACTGGACACAGAACTTGAGSTGTGGCCT